GCACAATAGCACGCTAAAGTTGGCCTTGTATAATTGAACGCACAATAGGACGCTAAAGTTGGGTTACTTTTTTATATTATGGCCTTGTATATCGTAATAAGATTTGATACAACTCGAGCTAGGATATACCGATCGATATCGTTCTTGTGACAGGCTAGAAAAAGATTTAGGGTAAAGGTTTTGACATAAAATGTCTATACAGAACGGTATTTCGAGGATGGAAGCGGAATAATTGTGGCTGAATTATCAAATTGCAGAATAGCTTATATGCGGTATAGTTGTCTATGTATAGTACAGTAATAATATTCATTACCCGCTTCCATCCCTGAATGATATTGGCCTGGCGACCGAAGTGACTTGCTATAGTTACCACGCTCAAATTCTTGTAACCTCGCACCAAATTAACGAATTTGTCAATTGGGAACGGTAATTCCGCATACTTACTCATAATTATTATAAATTATTAATTTTATTTAAATTAAATTTTTTTATCACTTTCCTAAATTTCCTAGTATGAATGCAACGTGAAGTTTTGCAGCCCATGCGTATAGGCCTTCGAAACAAGAGATTATATAAAAATAGATGGCTGTATTGAAATCTTCCTAGCAACCTTTGCCACAATTAACACAAAATTGAAAAACACCGCTCATATTCCTATGTATCCGACTCCATTGGTTTTAATCTGATGTTTAATTAATTTGCTTACAATTTATTGGTCTTTATTGACAAAAACGAAAACAATTTTAATCCTTAAAAAGGATGTCAGACACATGTATACTGAATTTTGCTGATGATTTTGTTTGTGCTAAATAATTAAGGCAGTGTTGTTGGGAAGATTTCACTGCGTGCACGATATTCAATGATGTGCAATCTACATTCGGGACTTACAAATGAGACTTAAATCTTCCCCCATGAATTAGCTATCTTCAATTCCTGCCTTTCATTTGGCATAATTTAATTATCCCATAATAAACACTCTATTATTTTATAATGCTTCGAATGTATATGATATATACCGCATTTGCACGTTGCACCGAATATAGGATTAGTTCTGATATTAGCACACGCTAAATTCAAATCATGCTCGGTTTAATTACATATACCAATCATTACTGTAACGCAAATGTATAGTATTCGTTTATTCGGTCATGAACCAGGACTCGTGCTCATTTCGCCACATTTCACGGAAATTTGTAGTAATAATGAACGTAGTCTATGAAGATATGATGGTCTGAAGACTAAATAGAAGTCATTGTGTTTTTGTCTGAGTGTTTTGTGCACGGTCACCGTGATTGAGCTAATGAAACAATCGTCCAATAGAGATATCTGAGTTGATACCACTGAGCTATAATATTACTGGAGGACGTGCTCCTATCTATCCGTCAGTCAAACGAGTGTCCGGAAAAACATGGCGGATTTTCATGTTTGCTGACGCCAATTGGTTCCTCCGGCTCATGGCAATTACCACTGACCAAC